TATCAACGCATGTGCCCCATCTTAAGGAGAGCGAGGATAGCGGAGTATAGAAACGCCATCAGTACTGTTCAGTAAAGTAATTCCAAGGGATATAGAATAAGTGGCTCATCCCTAATTTCTGAGTAGTGACCAGCGCTGGAGGCATCTATTTCCACCACTTCAAAATCTCTTAGAACAGAGTTTTGAAGAGAAAACATAATGCTGCTGCTTTTTTATAGGTCCATACTTGAAGAGTCGATGCGCCATGCGCTCGGCTTCCATTCCTAACTGTGAAAGGGGCCCGTTTTGAATGAGCGGGTGCTCTGTAGGGGTACAGCAGAAGAAGTGTCTGCAATAATCCTAAAAGGAAAGGCTGAAGTGGTAATGTGTGGGGAAAACGAAGCAAACTCACGAGTACGTCTTTATTCAGCAACTGTTCAAAAATTTTCCTTACAAACCTAAATGGAATTCATACGATCTTTACGGGAAAATAATTGCAAAGCATTATAAAATCCAAATAACATCATTTATAAGAGGTTCTGGCCATGGAGTGTCTTACATTTCTTGCTGCGGACTGAAGGAGCAAAGAAGTCAGCCGAGGAAGTAAGGCGGAATATAGTTCGTACAGAAATTCTTGACGAAACGTTCAGGACAAAACTATTAACGACTGGTCAGAACCAGAAGATTTAGATTTAATTAGATGACAGAAACAAGGATAAGGTCATTCCTAATTTCAATACAACGTACGGCTGAACAATTTGAGGTAATGAAGTGCAAGACGTTAAAAAAGCGAATCCATAGCGCCTCGTGCTGATTTGAACGCAAACTGATTAGCCCGCGACGAGATAATCGTCTGAGATTTGACTCCTGAAAAGAAAAACGCATCTTACGATAGTGCTGAATCCGTGCAGTTCCTCGGTCCCCTTTCAAGAGAGGGTTTGGTTTGTGAAAACTGACCCCTTACTTAAAGAGGAAAAACTTCCATCGAACGACAGGCACAGTGCAGCAGTTTAGTGGTTCACCGTTCTATACTACGACCCAGGAACGAAGTAGGGCACATCCTCCTAAGTGAGTCACGACCCCTCTCCCCCCCCCTCCCCACCGAAATCAGTCGAGCGCATGGGGAAGACATACGTTCAAGTGTCAAAGATGGTCAGGCAATGAAAAATTGGAACATCATCGATCGAAAGGGACGGTGGAAAGCAGGGGCAGGCAAAAAAAGAGGACGAAATTCAAACCATGACCCCTCTCCACAACGACTTATGCTTATCCGTTAGAAAAGGCACCAGTCCCTTTCCAGTTGGAAAGTCATTAATCACCGCTGCTGTGACGGGAACCCTTTATTTATTTTATTTCATTTATTTACGAAAGGGGAACATGCGACTGTAATAGCCCTGGAGCTATAGCACATGACGCACCATGACGTGAAAATCAACGAGCTCTGTGAGCGAGCGATATTCCAGAGGTCCTGGCATCGTGGTGCGTTGGAGAATTCTCCAGAAACGATGGAACAGGCTTGTAAGAGAAAAGGAGTTTTCCCGTTCGTGGATTTCGCGGAAAAATGCTTTCCCTTACCACACAAGAGATGCGGCGGTTACCAGGTGCGGTTAGTCTAAATTTCTTCCAGAAGTCGTTTGAAGAATTATCCAGGATCTTACGCTAAAGATGCCTCTTTTCATGTTAAGAAGCATAAAAAAGCGATGTTGTGGAAGAATATCAAACGCCCATCTGATCGTGTTGCTGCAGAGGATGGTATGCCGCGCAGCCAGCCCGTTTTCTTATCCATTTTTTGCGAACACAGCGTCCACCGTCGTCGCATCTTCGCAGCCTGTTCTTGTCTCTACCCCGCACGGGGATGAACGGTGGGCCCACGAACCGACCGCCCAACGACGACATCCCCACTCATATTCAAAGTACTCTGCCCTTTAGTCCTCACAAACAATGTTACTTTGAAAAGCGAAGCTGCAAACGGTCAAGGAGTGGTTCAATAGAATTTGTAAACAAAAAATGGCTCCGTATATTCCGCTGCCAATTGATGCTGTGAAATCCTTTTAGAATCCCGATTAAGGTCTCAGGGCACATTTTTCCCTGGGTCTTTTGGTATCTTCAGCTTCGTATATTCATTTATCGAAAAACAGGACATACCCCTCCTTCGTGATATATATACTACTCCTGCGTAAACACTTAACAGGCTTAGCCTTAGGAGTAGCGTTCATAGTTCGTCGTCAGCGCTTTTTTGAGTATGCGCCAGGACAGCGCTGACGCAAACGACGAAAAAAAAAAACGCTGGCGCAAAGCACTAACTCATCCTAACGAATAAGAGAAAAACCAAAACGAAGAAAAAGAGTGCTGTAAACAACTTACCACCAGCAGGACCATCTTGAGCAGAACCGGTGGCAACTACTCGCTTCATGCCCTTAAACAGAAGAACAGACTTCAGAAGCTTGATGAGCATTACAGTTGTAAATGGGTCTAGGATAATTAGCGCGAAAATGACTATTTCACCACAACAAACCTTAATTCCTTTTGTAAGTGCCTTATTATTGAATTTGAGCCAACTATTCTTCTCAGTTTCTTTGGCCAAATCAAGTTCCTTTCTCTTCATTTCCTTTTTCTGAGCTCGAAGACGGCGTCGCTCCCGTTCAGCCTTAAAATAAACCTTTCTAGGTCGCAGAGAAAACAAACAAATAAATTAACACGAACACGAAAATAAGCTTACCAGCCATTCTTTTTTATTCGCGGCAGTCTTCGACATGGCACTGCGGGTGTCGAATACGTAGTTCTTTTTACCAGTATCTGGAAATGCAGACACTTGAGATGCAGAAGACTCGACAAATTGTCTTCTGACCCGCTACCAGTGAATGAAGCATTGATAAAATATATAATACAAAAATGATACAAAGCAAGATACAATAGCGCGCAGTGAACGCGCCTGTTCTTTCTGTTTTAATAGGAAAGCTTTTTGTACCCGAGACCCCGTCCCTTTTTCCCAGGACGGTTAATTCTCGACCAATGAAGAAGGGTGGAGGTGATAGGCTCAATTCAGAAGTGCTAAGTACTGGTGATTGGCTCGCACGAGATTATAGCAAGCCTAGTAGCAACTTCCCGTACCTAATCTGCGCTTTACCACCCTAGGTAAATCGTTTTAAGAATTTTCAGGTACTTGGTTGGGCCATTCTCAAATGTTTAATTCCCAGGCTCCGTAGAAGAAAAGTAAGGCCAAGCGTGAGGTGATCAAGTAAAGTAACTTCTTTTCTCTAAGTACTTGCTTTAGAGGCTCTAGACTGCGAGCTTTAAACGAGTGACCAGGAATGACCATAAACGAGAACTAACAAAACGAACGAAAGGAATAAGTAAGGAAGAGAATTTATAATTGAATCAGATTCCATGCAAAATTATCCTTACTAATAAAAAAGAACGCAACTATCCAGCAGCACGTCATGAGTCCGACAACTGGCGACACCACGATTACGCGTTTGGAAGGGGCGTCCATGACACGGTCACCCACACTGAAATAACTCCTGAAAATATTACTAAGCTGTTAATATATATCTACAAGTCGTCCGAAATAATTTTGAAGAGATTCTTCGAGAATTTTAAATTCTTGAAAGGTACCTCATATTTCTTTGCGGGAGCGGCTACTCTAGCTGTTTCATGGGCCGAACTAGAGGCAGAGGTGCTAGCCAATTCTTCCTAAAAGTAAATAAGTTAACATTTTCGCTTCTGATTCCATATTCGCCGTATTATACATATACAACGAATCCAAATTTTGGAGAAAAAAATCAAATCATAGAACTGCCGGAAGTCACAAACCTGAAGTGCTATAACTTCTTCAAGATCAGCTTTAAGCTTCTTCAGTTCTTCGTTATCTGGGTCACCCAGAAGAGCTGCCTCTACCTGGAATCAAATTATTATGAAAAATATAAAGCGGATCCACTGAGCAAAAGAAAAGAAACAGCAGCAAAAATCACAACTTCTAGAATTGATAATACCTGCTGAAACTGAAGCCATGTACTTGGCTAGTTCGTCTCGTCTGCCCATTGATTCACACAAGTTCGAACCACTAAAGCAGAGCAGTTTTAAACAAATTGGTATGTGTAACCGTTCAAAGAAAACATGGAGACCAAAATTAAAAGAAAAGAAAAAAGCGTAAAAAAGCTTGGAAACCCATTCCAAAGCAAATAGTTTAGAAATAAGGAATTGGGAAACACGACAACCAATCAATGACAGGAAATTAGAAAAATCAGCGTAAACAGCCCAACTCTCTACCAAAGGAAGACAGAGCACGAAAATTATAAGGAACTCGTAAACAGCCGATTTCCGATTTTGGAAGCAAACCAAGTCACGTCTAAACAGTGTAACTTGTGAGGGTACACACAACGCAGCTCCCAGGCCGTTCCTCGTTCAACGCCACTCGCCGCTTCCAGATGCACCTCTGGCTCAACTAACCATAAGACTTCTTTCACCCCAGACGTTCAACTTCGACTACCCTCCTGCTTCTGAATTTCAGGAAACTCGTCGACTGCAAAAATAATCTGGCTGAAGACGGGAGCTTTTCAATGTATTCGAATTCCGGTCCGATTGTTGCCCCAAACCTATACCGGGAAAGTGCCGGACGAGTTTACGGGTGCAAGTCATACACTTCGTTGTGGGACCACGCATTTCACTTCATTTGAATAGGATCCTACTATATATAATCGGCTATGTCCGTGCGTGTGTGTGTGTGTCTGCGTCTGTTTGTCACGAAATTCATAGCACGTAAGAAGAACTTGGAGAGGCCTGGGTCATGGTGGGGACGGTTAGGTCGAAACGACGGGTAGAGACGAAACCTTAATAGCACACCCATGAACCACGTAAGCCCCCGCCCACAGTGGGCGGGGCGTGCGTCGAAAGTTAGCGATGTCACTGAAAAAAGTCATAACTCGGTTCCAGAGCAGTCCCGAGATGAGGGAACAGTGCAGTAAAGTTAACAAAGGGCTGACCGACCAAACAGAGGAGACACACCTGAAATGGGCGGGCGTACTCGAGATGGGCGGCGCTTCCCATGTCACTGAAAAAACACCATAACTTGGCTACAAAGCAGCTCCGAAACAGCAAAAAGTGAGATAATGTCAGCAATGGGTTGGCGCACCAAATGGAGGAGATACACCCGAAATGGGCGGGGCGTACTCCGAGATGGGCGGTGTCGTGACTTCTGCACGACTTCAACCTTACGGTCCGTCCTTACATCCATTGCGCAGTTCTTCACGCGCACTTGTCTGTCGAATTGGAACGTTTAAAGGACCGTCTTCGCAGGCCGCACTGGGGTCTCATCGCGCAATGTGTCTTCGCTGCCTATTCGACGCAACTTCACATTTTGGGCCCGCGAGCAGTTTTGGGCGCACTTTACGGATTGGTTCCGCATCTATCGTCTGTGTGTCACCTACCACCTTCCGCCCACGAGCCTGAGGCTCGTCCTTGCCCAACCTGGCCCTGGTCCCTCGTCTCGCGCAGTTGCCACCTGGGGGCAACTCAGTCATGCGCACTTCCCCACTCGTCTCGCCTTCGAGGATCGCAGCGAATGGACATGGAAGGAGTTGGACGCAGGCAACTCGCACTCGCCCACGAGTGCGAGGGTGGAGAGCCTCCATGGCCCCGACTGAGGCAGGCAGCTGGCCGTAGGTTTAGGTTTTGTTAGGTTTCTTTTATTGTGAATTATCGCATAAATTAACTCTTTTTGATTTCCTTGTTTTTCTTTTACATTACATGTTCATCGCATATTCTATCTTGATGCTTCGGTTGATGTTTGTGTAGTGGCCCTAGATGTCTAGAAACCCTATCATGTATAACGCGAGTGGACCCAGTATTGAGCACGGCCCTAACGATATGAATTGTGGAATTGTAGGGGAGCTTAGGGCAGTTCCTTAGGGAACGACGCAACGCAGAGGCTAGACGAGCGCAGGGGGGTTAAGGACCGCAGGCGTGGCCGCGTGGCATATACCTCGTTAGCGCAGCAGACCCCTCTTCGTTCTCGTCAGGGATTTAACACGACGCGAAACCTCCTTTAGCACCGATGCGCACAATACACATAAGGGAGGAGGGACCGCGTCGCGACATGGTGCATCGGAGCTGGGGTTGGGCGTGTGGCAACACACGTCCAGCCTATGCGATCGAACCTTAGCCGCGCTTTATTAAAGTCCTTCGCAGAAGTCCTTCGCAAGGGAACGCCGAGATGCGCGCACGACACAGTTTAGATAGTTCCGGGTATCCGCAGATGGCTACGAAGGAAGTTCGACTGGGGAACTACCCTTACCACCCTAGTGGCCGTTGTGGGCGTTATGGAGCTGGAGTGGCACTGGTATCCATACGACACGCGGTCACAGTCCGGACCTAGGGAGCGGGAGGGATACCCCTCTGGAGCTTGTGAAGTTTGCAAACGGCTACTCTTCGGGTAACGCCAGGTCAAAACTGCATGGAGGGGTACCCAGGTGATAGGGAGGACTCGCCCTCATGTAGTCTGGTTTGTGAGTCCTTAGCAACAGATGTTGCCGAACGGTACGTTTGTCCTTCACACGTAACCCAGGCCGCATCTTCGGTCCGCAAGCGTCTGCGGGGCTCGCGCATCGTCCTCTCTTGTGTCGTGTAGCCGTCTCGGGCGGACCCTTGTTACGGACAAATGCGACATCGACTTTATCACACGCACTCATCATTCTCCGATCAATTGCCATGTTAAGTCATATCGTCGGTCTATTGTTCGCAAATCCCCTCGTCCCTAGGCCAACTTCGTCGCTAGCTAACTATACGCTGCCGTGAGTGACTCGTGGCCGGAGCCTCTCGCGGCACAATATCCACTCACATTTCCCCGTTTTAGATTTGGGTAGGCAGTTACCAACTCCTGCCTGTGCAAACTATGTCAACAGTCAGTCCCCATACTCCCTTCACTCGCAATACTAAATATAAAAAATCCGTCTATGCGCTCTTACACGATGAGCATACTAATCGTTTCACCGTTACACCCCTTTGAGGTAAGGCGATTCGGGTATGACCAACCCGAAGCTATGGCTAACGTTAATGCGCTCATTCACGAACAAGAGCATCGCCGCACAAAGCAGGTAAGCGATGACGGAGATTTCCCCGCACTGGTGCCGCGCACTGCAAGCGAAGGAATACCCGCACTTTGCACTCTTTTCTATGGCACAATCCTTCAAGACTGTGCGAGAGAAAACGCGCGAGCTTACCTGTTTTACCAAAAACCTTTTACAGGTGGATAGAGATGTTGCACACGAAACCAGTCTGTGTGATTTCATCAACAATGGCTCAGCATTGACTGATGACATTAGAAGTCATCATATAACATTACTAACCCATTTCCAAATTTACCTTTTCAGAGAGGAAAATCCGCCAGCCCAGCTGATCGATTTGCTCGCACAATACGACATCTCGTTTCAGCAACTGCGCGCAACTTGCGACGCTGCTGAATGCGCCACTACGGAAGCTCGCAAGGAGCTCAACGAATTCAGTCTATTGCTTAGAAGTGCAACCACAGCTGGCAAGTTCCCTCCGACTGATGATATCATCGAGCAACTCGACGACGCAGGGGAGCGGTCGCCAAACAGGCCCAGTCTGCGCACTTGCGGCGAATCGCATCATGCATCACCGTCAAGGGAGCTGCGTGATGACGATTCAGCTCCACCCAGTACGCGCAGTTACAGCGAGTCGCATCATGCGTCTCCTTCAAGGGAGCCGCGTGATGACGACTCAGCTACACGCAATCAGCCTGCACATACGCGCCCGCACTCTCCAGCCTTCTCGAGTCGCTCGGTAGATTCATATAATAATTTTCCGCGCACGAAGCGCACCTCGCCGCAGCCTTTTGTAACGCACTTCTTACATCCGGTAGACAGACATGGTGCATCGGAGCTGGGGTTGGGCGTGTGGCAACACACGTCCAGCCTATGCGATCGAACCTTAGCCGCGCTTTATTAAAGTCCTTCGCAGAAGTCCTTCGCAAGGGAACGCCGAGATGCGCGCACGACACAGTTTGGATAGTTCCGGGTATCCGCAGATGGCTACGAAGGAAGTTCGACTGGGGAACTACCCTTACCACCCTAGTGGCCGTTGTGGGCGTTATGGAGCTGGAGTGGCACTGGTATCCATACGACACGCGGTCACAGTCCGGACCTAGGGAGCGGGAGGGATACCCCTCTGGAGCTTGTGAAGTTTGCAAACGGCTACTCTTCGGGTAACGCCAGGTCAAAACTGCATGGAGGGGTACCCAGGTGATAGGGAGGACTCGCCCTCATGTAGTCTGGTTAGTGACGGTCCTTAGCAACAGATGTTGCTCGGGTTCTTTCGCAGACGTTGTGAGGAAAAATCTCCCCCTCACACTTCGTTTGTCCACAAGAGCACGCAAAAAGCTGCTCCACGCAAAAACTAAACCCTTCCTTTTTTGCTCGTCTCAACACTAACCGTCTCCACATCACTACGCACTCCACCTCTCCGCTTGGATCGCCGACGCCGCCTCGATAAGGACGAAGAAGCCGCAACTTACCAGTGGAAGCCGACACTCGCACGCACCTCATAATGGCACTATGTGATCAATGTGTTGTTTACATTGTATTTTTTGTTGTTAACTAACAGTTGTTGTATGAGCCAGTTCCGTTCCCCCTTCATCGCAGCTGACGCACCCCCAGTTGTCCTGCACACGTGCGGATGGCCCAGGGACGCACGTCGACTTAGGCCCCACGGGTAGGCTTCGATTTTGACGGGTTTGTACATACAATTAGGTAAGGGAAGCTCTCCACTCCTGCGGCGCGAGCGGCTTCGTCTTTCTGCCGCCCCCAGTGTCGTGACTTCTGCACGACTTCAACCTACGGTCCGTCCTTACATCCATTGCGCAGTTCTTCACGCGCATGTCGAATTGGAACGTTTAAAGGACCGTCTTCGCAGGCCGCACTGGGGTCTCACCGCGCAATGTGTCTTCGCTGCCTATTCGACGCAACTTCACATTTTGGGCCCGCGAGCAGTTTTTGGGCGCACTTTACGGATTGGTTCCGCATCTATCGTCTGTGTGTCACCTACCGCCTTCCGCCCACGAGCCTGAGGCTCGTCCTTGCCCAACCTGGCCCTGGTCCCTCGTCTCGCGCAGTTGCCACCCGGGGGCAACTCAGTCATGCGCACTTCCCCACTCGTCTCGCCTTCGAGGATCGCAGCGAATGGACATGGAAGGAGTTGGACGCAGGCAACTCGCACTCGCCCACGAGTGCGAGGGTGGAGAGCCTCCATGGCCCCGACTGAGGCAGGCAGCTGGCCGTAGGTTTAGGTTTTGTTAGGTTTCTTTTATTGTGAATTATCGCATAAATTAACTCTTTTTGATTTCCTTGTTTTTCTTTTACATTACATGTTCATCGCATATTCTATCTTGATGCTTCGGTTGATGTTTGTGTAGTGGCCCTAGATGTCTAGAAACCCTA